AAACAAGAAAATGTTGGGTCGTCATCAATGCTGACGAAGTGATTCGATGTGATCCATTCCTCATTTTGCTGGTCTCTCGGACAAAACCTCGCCGAATCAAACAAAGGGCAATGTTACAAAGGTGTTGCGGCTCYGGGAACAAAGAAATCAAACCGAAGCGTCAACACCATGTTCTTTTTAGCTACAWGCTGCTCGTTTTGGGGTTCCTCTTTTTGAGTAATGYCGAGTAAGAATGGGGCAGACATGTAGGAAGAGTCGATAGGTTATTTAAAATCTGGCGAGATATTTCAGCCCACACACAGWGAGCAATTACTGTGATTAAMTGACACTTTTAGGGTTCGACCTTGGATAGCAGTGAATATTTGATTATCTCAGCATCTTATGATTCTCACGCAACAAAATATCGAGTGTTGACTCGTTATTCTATGCCAGATCACGCATTACATACTATCCAACAATATTTCTTCTCCCCGCGTTATATAGGCTTTTTTATAATCTCCGAAACCATAAAGATGTTCAAATTACAAAGCTTAATAACCATAAAGTGTATTGTGGTTCATGGAAGCCAGAGTAAATTTTAAGTAACTCTTGCTTCTTCCATGTGGGAACTTTACGTTTACAGGGTTCAAGACGGAATGCGGGTTCCCTGTGTAGCGCGACAACTGTCACTCATAGACATAGCATTCAGAAGTTCTGGCAAGAAACGATATTTGCATATTATGAAAGAACAAAAAAGATTTTATTGGAAATAATTTCTAAATTCTTTTAAAGTATATTTCTATAATACAAGTTTCTAATTAGCTCACAGTTTATAAGGTATTATTAAACGATTTCGATTTTCATAACTCTTACTTTACAAGAACTAGAATAACTGCCGTGTTTCAATGTACATAAAAATATTTTTCTCGCTTTTAAAGGTTTACAACCTTTATTCAATCCCCACTAAAGCTAGGAGAGACACAAACTACTAACACATTGTATTAACTGTTTAAATTGATGTTTAAGTTGTGCTATTTTCTCTTACGTCGTCTTTTCTGTTGTTTGGTTCTGTTTTGATGTTCTCTGTGGGTGTGATTGCTATGGCCACCACTACCAGGATTCTGACCGAAAATATCGCGAAAAAAATCCTCTTCGGTAAACCTTTGTCTGGTAAAGAGAAAGACGGGAAGATATGTCAATGAGACAAGAGGAGAACAAATCAGGAGAGTATTGGGGGAGGGGGCGGGGAGGACGCACTCTATAAACTAAAACTTATGTACGCTTCGCTCGCACCTTGTTCGTCCTTCTCTCGCAACTTGTTCGCACTTCGCTCGCAACTTGTTCGTCCTTCTCTCGCAACTTGTTCGCACTTCGCTCGCAACTTGTTCGTCCTTCTCTCGCAACTTGTTCGCACTTTGCTCGCAACTTGTTCGCACTTCGCTCGCAACTTGTTCGGTCCTTCTCTCGCAACTTATTCGCACTTCGCTCGCAAATTGTTCGCACTTCGCTCGCAACTTGTTCGCACTTAACGATAAACGCGTTCACATGATCAGTGTACCTGGGCGGTGGTTGCTGGCGATGCGAGTTGATTTTACCACACACTCTGTGAGAATTTGCAGGTAAGTGAAAACCACAGCGTTCCTGAAAGGAATAAAATACTCTATTTACTAACTACAGAAAACTACAGTATATTAAACAACACCATCAAGGTGTACTTCCATTAGCACACTCCAAACTTCCATTTTGACCACAGGTATCCCGAGCTCAGTACTCGTCGGCTATTCTGTGAAAGTCACCAGTCAATATTATCTACGGTACAAATATCAGGGTTTTTTTCACTGAAACTTCGTATGCATGTGTAAGAAATTAACAACATATTGTGTGAGTCKGAATGCATTTTATTGAGATTTCCAACTTTTATTGAATTTTTCGTTTTTTTCTATAAGACCTTCACAGAAAAGCCGACGAGTGCTGAGCTTGGGCTACCTGTGTATTGACAAACCTGACAAAGACCCCAGTCAGTGATATCGTATATGGTGTTTTCCATRCAGGTATAGAACCTCCCGTGTCCCATTCCTAAAAAGCCATTACTCTCTTTCCAAAAATCGCCCTACAAAAAAATGCAAAAAACTATCAAATAAAGTTTTAGATAAATTTCCAATGTCTCAAATGAATTTTGTTTTATTTTTGACTGTAATCATTGCACCTAAGGTTTGTATGTTTATATGAATCGCTTTGTATATTTGTTTATTAGTGGAAGTGTTTATTATTTGTGCAAATAAGCTGACAACAAGGCAGAAGTAGAGAAAATGAGCTAAGAMAATTGACYATTAAATGTCGTGTTTRCCRGTGTGGTGTGTCTATACATGTAGGAGTGGAAATGGAAAAGTTTATACAGTAGTTATTCATACATTCATCATAGCAAAGTTTACCTCTTTTGCTTGGTGCAAGGTGGAACACTGAGAACAGAAACGGGCCTGGTAAGCAGTCCTASCAGCCCGACGTCTCCTATGTCTTCCTCCACACACATTACAAGCCAGGCTTTCACGAATCTATAATATATGACAAAAACAGATTAAATTAGAAAATAACAAAATCATCATTGCTTCTTTTCACTTACCTCTTCCATTTGCCTCATAAAGTCAGCAAAGAACTCATGAGGATTAGTGTAATCAGATGGCTCTCTCTAATATGGAAAAAGCATGAAAACATTTATAAAAACCATCATTACACATACAGAGAATTCATGACCGAAAGGGACTATGGCTACGCTGTTTTGACAAAAAAATTCACTGTTTGGATTCAATTTGCGTAGAAATGGCGACTAAATGGAACTAATGCTCACCACAGCATAAACACAAAGTATTGGCATAAAGTTCGTACATTATATCTGTGAAACTGACTTTGTAAGAAATTGTTCAAAATTGATCTAATTACACAATTRTARACAAAAGATTTCGTACTAATTTGCAAAGTTTTGAAAGCAAGATTTCAGAGATAGGTAAATGCACTCTATAATCTGGGATTACTGGCAGTTTTCTTACCATAAAATTTCCACTTGCTCTGTCTTTGTGTAATTGCTCTTTTCTGGCCACTTCTCGATCATACTCTTGACGTTTGCTCTAGAAATGTTGTCAGAAAAATAAACATGAAGACAYGTAAGAAGAATGTTCCACAACGCTACCTATGATAAATCTAGGATGTTGAGAACACTGCCAWTGATGATAAGATGCAAGCAGTTTTGAAATACAGCATTATATYGACTTTGTGACTTACTGAATCGCCAAGAACGTCGTAKGCACTGKACAGGATCTGAAATGCCTTGGCTGACTGTGGATGTTTGTTCTAAAATATAATAGACCTTTTTAAGTAACAATGCGCTAAAG